ATCATGGAAGATTGTTTGCCTGAAGGTGATTGCCTGATTGGATTCTGGTGTGAGTTGTTTTGACTCATTGGCCAATTGAAGCCAATCTGTGTCAGGGCTCTGGAATGAGTCACGAGTTTTCATTATTATCTTTTTAGCATTCAGTAAGTATCTTTTCTGTATTCTTTAATATAGTATTCTTTAATATAATATAGTATTATAAAATAATAAATTAGCCTTCTGAGAACATGGAGTCAGATTCATCATTCCTGCCATGAGGGCACCTGCAAGTACAACAATGTAAGAACCTTAAATTTAACTCCTTTGTTTAGCCTAGTCACCACATACCCAGATGTGATTTCCCTTGTGAACAAAGCTACTTCTGTCCATGTACAGCTCCCAGTCTGGGTTCTCTGTCAGGCTGTCCTTCAAGTCTGGTTGGCTGGAATCAACTTCTTTGATTGTTTGTAGGCAATCATGTTCTAGAGTACTTTGGAGGCCAACAGAAACACAGCTAGATTAACAACAGAGGTGGTTTTGAGGGTCCATTAATACCACTTGGTACCTGAGCTGGGGACAGCCAATGGCCTCCCTTTTGTTCCAAGCCCATCTGTACCAACTGTGGTACACAGACTGTCATGCTTTGTCCCAGAGCCAATTTAGGAGCTTCCTGAATTGACAGTGCGGGAAATATATATCTAATTATGTTAAGAGCTTACGCTTACTAAGGAAACTATTGACTGCGGCAACTACGTCTAGATATGGACAACACTGGACAATTTAGACCACAAAAGCTTTTTTTTATTTTCAGCACATCAGTCTCAGGACATTGTTAGACAATGGAGATAGGATGTTAACAGCTCGCTGATCCACAGGGAATGCTAAGGAGGTAGGGCATTACAGCATAGCATAAAACCATCTCATCTTAGATTTCAGCCAATCATACATAGAACAACACATATTGACAAGCATTCTATCCAATCTTATAAAACACACATAATGGTAGTTAAAACAAAGACTGGTTCATAAGAGACCAAGAACAGAGCTCTATTCATGCTAACTTTCTAAAGATATACATTAAATAACCTTGTTGCCATCTATAAGCTAATTCTACAGAGGCCTATTGTTATTTGTCACGTATGCTCTACTGCTTAGAAAGCTTTTCTGCTGTATTTGCAATGCTAACAAAACTTCAGTCTGAGGCCTGTTCTTTTTTAACCATTTCCTAAAAATCCTCTAATTTTATGAATTCCAGCAGACAGCACTGTAGCTGTGACTGCTCACAAACAGCTGAGCCATCCTTGGCACAAGTGAATAATTCAACAGATCTTGTGGGATCTGGCAAGCCTAAGCTGGAGCCCTCATCAGTGCTTTCTTGTTTGAATGAAGCAACACTCCCAAAACTTGATCTCTGCATTCAATTTTCACAGTAAGTTTCCTACTAATAACAGTTTTGGAGAGTTAAGCAAGTACAAAAATTGATGTATTATCTATAATTCTCTCAGTTTGAATTTATTTGGTAAACAAATGGGAGGAATATGTCTTTACAAACTGTGAGTCTGCCTGTAGATAAAAATAGATACTGGCAGGTGAAAGAAGCAACAGGAGGAACCATACATTTCAGAGAAACGTTACTAATTGACACAGACTGCTGCTTATCCAAGGCCATCTTAAATCCCTGGACTCAGAAAAGAAGAATAGAGGTACAAAAAAAAGAGGGGTGCATATTAGGAGGGGATATGTATTGGGTGATTTGGGAAGTCTGTACCTCTCAAGTACCTCAGCCAGTGGGGAAAGACAGAGGGTGATGTGGATAGGAAAATAGTATTGAGAAGGAGGCTGTGTCCTCAAAAAATTGGAGAGACCCCAGGGTAAAGGTGTCATGGCCTCTCCCTTTATTTGTATAAAGTTACAGGACCCTTTTGTCTCCTTTTTGGACATAAACTTCTGGCATTGTGAAGTTTGCATTGCACAGCTGGCTTGAAAAAGGGGCATGTTTCACAAGTCCCAATGACACTGACAGTTCTGATGGAATTGTCACTTAACTTCCCTTGCAGGATATTTAATACAAAATAAACAGCTCCTGTTACCAAAACTCCCAGTTTTTCCTTTCCCAGTGTGGTTGTTACCACAGGCTCTGCTGGGGATGAAACCTCTGGTTCCCTTCACAAGTACCCAGCTATTGCCATGAGGGGCTTTGGAGAAATCCTGAGTTTTAGATGAGGACACTTCTGCTTCCAATATCCCTCCTTTTTACAATAAGTGCACTGATTTGTTCCCAATCTTCTTAATGAAGTGAGGAACTGAACCCCTTCCCCTGCCACAAGACTCCCCTCCCCTTCCTCCCTGGGGGCAGTAGTCCTTTGCCAATTCCTTTTGTTGGGGAAGATGAAACAGGAAAGCCTTATAAATATGATTGTCTGGCAAAAGATTCTGAGAATAAAGAAACTATAAGCAAGATTGAAATGAAAGCAAGCTCTAAGATACCTTAGTTAGTGAACTACTGGAAAACAATGGTGTGGCTGACTGAAGGTAGTCTGCTTTTGATGAAACAATTCCCTCTGCTTGCAGACAGTTCCAAGGGTCAGAGCAGATCCTACAGCTTGGCAGAAGGGGTCCAAAGAGGAGTTAATAGGGTTTAAAATGTAGCACAGTATGATGATGTAATGAATCCTGCAGGCTGTATGTAAATGCTCTAGGATTTGTATCTTGTACTAGATTGGTTAGTGAGAATCAGAATATTCAACACAGAAGAAGATTTATTGTATTGTAACGGGAACTTCGCTGTCTTAGATCTTACCTCTTAGCTCTTACCTCTTTTCTCTTAGTTCTTGCCTTTTACGCTCTTACCCCTTTTACTCTCTTATGCTTTTACTCTCTCACCCTCTCATCCTCTCTTCCCTCTCTTCTCTTGGGCCTGCTCTGATCTGTGGCTGGCAGCTCCAAGCAGGGCCCTGCACCCAGGTCCTTTGCAATAAACTGCAAGTTCCACGACCTGGCTTCAGAGATCTCTCGTCTCCATCCGTCCCAACCGTGCTATCCCCGTCAATCCTACTTCCTTTTTCTTCACCTGGTATTATTTTCTATTTAGTCACTTCTAGCTGATTTCCCTTTGATGTGATTTGTACTGCCCAAGTACTGCAACGTCAAGTAGTTTACCCATATCAAAAGCATCTGTTTCCTGGATTTCCTGTAGTTTTATTCAATTATCAAGGCCTATGCTATGCAAATAAGAGCCAGACAACTTTTACCTTCCTCCTGAACTTTCTTTTACCTTTACTGCTTTTTAACTGTGCCTGCAGCCAGCCTTCTTAGTCCTCTATGCACTGGGCTTTGCAACTGCATTTAAACCTCCTTTCTCTTGATAATCTAAATGCTTAGAGCAGATGCGCTCCATGCTACACATATAACAACAACATTCAATATTTTTCTTTATTTTCCTTCTCTAAAGCCTAAACGAAAGGATCTGAAGGTGCTACATTAATACCACAATCCTTTTGCTATCCAAAGTGATTTCTCAAAATGAGAAACATTTCAGTATACATGACTTAATTTCATTTGGTTCTTCATGCAAGAATAACATCAGTTGTAGCAGGATGTTATTGTCCCACCACCCACCGCTCACTGTTCTGGTGAGTTCCTGGGTTCTGTGAAATTGGATTTTTGTGTTAATTTTAAATACATGGGAAGAAATCAGTCTAAAACTATTAAAATGTTTCTCCCTATCACCCTATGCATAAGAATCAAACCTTTTGGTACAGTTACACTTCTGGCAGCCTTTCTAAATCCAGGAATGTGGCTGCCATCAGGAATATTTTTAGTTTATAAACTAAATATATTATATGGTTATATATATGGTAATATATGTGGTATATCTGCAGTCATCCAGCCATTGTTCTCACCACCAGAGGCACACAGCACTTGCCCTGGTGGGATGGTGTCACAGACATCCTTTGTGAAAAATCCTTTCTTTAGGATTTTTCCCTCTTCTGGAAGGCTGAGGCCCCAGAAGGAGAATGTAAACAATGGTTATCTGGTGCTGTGCAATGCAACAGGTGTACCTGTGATTGGCCCATGTTGCCTGTTTTACAATTAAGGGCCAATCAGGGGCCAAGCTCTCTGGGACAGAATCAGAGAGAGCTCCTTTGTTGATTCATTCATTTTTCTATTCTTAGCACAGCAAGCTTCTGAACTTTTCTCTCTATTCCTTTGAGTATAGTCTTAATGTAATATATATCATAAAATAATAAATCCAGCCTTCTGATCATGGAGTCAAGATTCTCGCCTCTCTCTTCACCCCTGAGGGACCCTTGCAAGCCTGCTAACAGGTTTGGGGTACAGTTAGTCTGCCAGCTCTCCCCAAATAGTTTTTTGATTTGGGAGATCAAAAACTCTTTAATTTCATATTTATGAGCCCAAACCCTCCTTAAAAGAGTGTTTCTCAGCTCCCTAAATTGGTGTTTCAGACACTAAAATATCCTCAAATGGCTATTTCTGAGCCCAAAATCCCCC